TAGATACAACTCAATGAAAAAGACGATGAGATGTCAACGACTTGGTAGGTAGACTTTAAACACAAATTTTATTCAAAACATGAATATTTCAACCCGTCCTCGGGTCTTCTTCAGCATGTGTGACAACAAAATGTTTAAAAATTTAGGTCAAAGGTCAAAATGTCAAAAATGGTAGTTTTTAGTCACTAAATTGGCATAGGCCTATATCATTTTAAAATATTACAATGAATGGGATTTCAACTTATTTGTGTAGGAATACATACTAGGATACACCAAAACAAAGTTAGAGTGATAGGATTGGAGAAATTACTTTTTTGGGGTTAAAGGTCATTGACCCAACCTAAAACACTAAATATGTATCTTGGGAACACTTTAAAATATATGGTTGATTTTGGTGTAAAAAATGCACAGAATAATACAAAAACTAAGAAAATAATATAGAAGGACCCTCATAACCGATTCAGTACCGGTAACTCAAAAAATTAGGTCAAGTGTCAAAATGTTAAGAATTGTTATAGTAATCGATCTGGATCAATATTGCAACTGGCTGCTTGCTTATGAAATTTCAGTTAACAAGCAATTCCAATAAGATTATCCCCACACCCATATGTTATCTGCATTGTTATCCAGCGTTTCGGATTGTGGATTCAGTTGACTTGAAACTTGAAAATGCTGTTAAAACCCTAGTAGGGTTGTTGCATTTGTAAAGAGCACATTTGATATGTCCATAAATGCTGGAAACGGTGTCATTTCTAGACCAGACATTTGGGTAAGATGCCCATTATTCAATAATATATGATACCGTTTCCAGCATTTCTGGACATATCAAATGTGATCTTTTTGGACATATCAAATTGTGAGGTGTAGCTGCATTAAAAGTGGATTATCATGTGTTTCTGCCTGTGGGGTTTGCTATGGACATTGTTCAAATGGAGTGCTTGCAGACGAAGTTAGTGATGAAGAGGAATGAGGAGAGGAAGCCGACTAATTTAGATACTTATTTGTTAAAGATGTAGTGTCATCAGTCAAAAAGACAGGAAAATACCTCCAAAATTTACATAAAATTATGAATAGTTTATTTAAAGTGATAAAACAGAAATATTTGCTTCCAATGAAAAATAGATCGAAAAAGTAGTTTTACTTATTTACAAACATTAAAAAAATCCTTAAATTGATTAGGCCTACTAGCTAATTTATGGATATGTATGCAAATGTATACAGAAACTGTCCAAAAATTGAGGGGAATTTTATTTTTTTTATTCAAATTTTTAATTTGAAGTTAATAACTTGCCTAAATATACAAATTCAAATGTGAAATTAGAATTTTCGTTTTCATGACTGATAGTAGGCCTAAAACAGCGTTCCGCAGCGTTCCGCAAACTTTTTACTTCACAGAATATTTACGATTCCAGGCATCAACCAAAATCTTTCAAGAAGGTTTGATCATGAAGCCTCCATATATATAATTAATACAATACTTTGTCATCATTATCTGTTCTCTCAGTACCAAATTAAGCCCTCCTCTGCCCTCCTCTTTCTTTTTTGATTTTTTTTTATGGTTCGGGCAGAAAGGAATAAAATAAGTAAAAATAAAATAAATAAATAAAATAATAGTAATATAGTAAATGAATAATACCGTACACTTTTGTTTTCCTCCGACAAATATTAATTATTTTTTTCTACAATGATTCAACAGACCACCGTTCAGCCACACGTCATACAGTAGCTTTCTCCTTCCAAAAACGTTCACACACACTGATTCAGTCACTGGCGCTTCATCAACTGCAGGGGCGGCGCTAGCGGGGGACCAGGGGCAAGGACCCCCGTCACTATCGCGATCGTATGGGTTGTGGTGGTAGCGCCAGATCTTCCCAGACAGGGGGGGGGGGGGCTGGTACCACGTCCTGACAAGTGGTTAGTACCCTCAACAGGGGCCTTAACTTGCATGATTTTCTATAAAATTATTCTTTTTAAATAAAGAATATATACCATCAACACAATTTTCCCCAACGAATGAAGGAGGAAGGGGTGCTAGGCTTCCCCGACGATGAGAGGGGATTGTGGAACCCATGTCGGGGAGCTTGGACCCCTCGTCGGGGAATTCCTGGCGCCGCCCCTGTCACACCTTTCATTTGTAGGTCTACTTCTTCTCCAATAATGATACTTTTTTTGTAAAGAGATAACCCAAACATTTGTCGTCATAATGGCAAATTATTTGTCGTTGCTACATGAAAGGTTGGGTAACGAATGTAGTTTTAGCTCACCTTTTTTAGTCGCTCCTTTTGGAGTAATATAAGTCCATCGTACGACCGTGATACGGTCGAATGCAGAGCACATGTTCTAGCAGGGTGAATACCATGTTCAGTGCTGCAGTTGCATTGTTGCGTCTCACTACCACCTAGTGGCTCAGTGTACTGTACTACGCTTGAAAATGAGTGCAGACTAAAACGAAGTCAGCAATTACTATACTATATAAACAAATCATATACAGTATGCCATTTTTGTAATAACAATTCTTAAAATGTTGACCTTTGACCTCATTTTTTGAGGTAATGAATTGGTTATGAGGGTCCTTTTATATTATTTTCTTAGTTGTTGTATTGTTCTGTGCATTTTGACACCAAAATCAACCATATATCATAGAGTGTTTCCAAGATACATATTTTAGTGTTTTAGGTTGGGTCAATGACCTTTAACTCAAAAAAAGTAATTTCCCCACGCTCCTATCACCCTAACTTTGTTTTGGTGTATTCTGGTATGCATTCCTACATAAGTAAGTTGAAATATTATTCATTGTAATATTTTAACATGATATATGCCAATTTAGTGACTAAAAAAATACCATTTTTGACATTTTGAACTTTGACCTAAATTTTTAAGGTCATGAATTGATATGAGGGCTTTCAATATTATTTTCTTATTTGCTATATAATTATGTGCAGTTTGACACCAAGATCAACCATATACTATAGAGTGTTCGGGAGATGCATTTTTTAGTATTTTAGACATGGGTTAATGACTTTGACCCCTCATAAAAAAATTTTCCCCACCCCCTAGCCCACCTAACTTTTTTGTGTATCCTGGTATATATCCCTACACAAATCAGTTGAAATCTGCTTTTTTCTAATTTTTTTTACAGATTAAGTTTAATTTTGCGATACCGTACTCAGTGCAGCTAGGGTACAGACCCAAACGAAACGTTCGACCAGCTTAGGCAGAGCCCAGACTAGTCACATGGTCGGCGGAACCGGCGGAACATGGCCGGTGGAAGAAAAAAAAATAGAGGGAAGAAGGAGGAGATGGAGGGGAAAGAGAGTGTTTATCCAGTCGACAGAGTTTCTTTCTTACGGTTCGCATTTGTGGATCTGGTGGTCAGGGGTCCTGACCACCACCCCCCCCCCCCCCCACTCTCTTGGGAAAAAAATCTAGACCTACATTTTCAGGACCCATAAGCTGTTGTTACAAAAAGAAAATCAGAAGTCGGGAAAGCTCATTTCCCGCCATCTAAGAATCAAAATTTTCTCGAGTAAACCTACCCCCAACCCCATTTTATTTTTGGGGTTCATCGATTAATGGAAAAAAGAGTACATAATCAACGCGTAGGTACATAAC